TACCCTATTAAATGCATGTTATATGATCTTATAGGAAATGATTCACTCGTTTATGTTTCTCCCTGCAACAAATAAACAATTAAAACAAGTTTTATTTCAGAACAAAGAGTTACTGCAGTCAAAGAAACAGCTACACAACCTCTGAAAGTGGGCTAACCCGATGTGTTTCACACTGCAGGACTCTCATGCTCCGCAGTGAAACAGCCGCTCAAGAGAAGGCCTTGTTTCAGTCAGATCTCTTTTGTCATGCTAACTGTAACCTTTTAAAGCACACTGACTGCAGGTAGCCCAGAGAAACAATAGGATACAGTAGCATCCTCCTCTAGAGTTACTCTCCCACAGTCCTCGTCTTCCACTCGGCGGACACAGTAATAAAGCCGTCCAACTATGACATCGCGGCTAGTCGTTTGTTTTCTGTACATTGCCATGGCGATGCGAGCGAGACCGCGAGATGGCAGCGACCGCGGAGATGAAAGGCGGCATTAGCGCATCAGGATTGAGACGAGCACTAAGATCTGTCAGAATCGCTTTTCTTTTTGGCCTTTGATTTTCACATAAGCTCCACTGAAAAGATCAGTGAAACTATGAAAAGTCACGCTAACCTCGTACTTCAGCCTTTCTCAAACTTTTTTCAGTCAGGGCACCTTTCAAAAGTGCATAAAATCTCAAGGCACCCCAGTGTAAAATATAATTTAAAAACACTGCATAACCCAAATTTAAATGCAAATGTCTTGTTTAGTTAGACAGAACAGTAATGAACATAGCATAATATGAACTGTAAATAACAATAATAATAAAAACTTTATAGCACCTTTGAAAACACAGGTTTGCAAAGTAATTCACAAAATAATTAATCAGAGACACAAATGCCATAAAACCGTAAGAGGTGGACCGCCCAATACAAGAACCCAATAACAAATTCAGACCAGGAGAACTCAAATGAAGTGCAGGATGCAGATAAAATAAAATAAAAATCCCTGGCTCTTGTGGGGATTTTCTTTTCAAAAAACGATCCATAATGCTGTAACTAAAGTGGCCTAAATTCACGTTTATTTTTACGTTTCTGTCAGTCTGAGGTGTTGCTATAACGCGTTGCTATGGATTGCGTCACTTGTGTCAAGTTGTGTGTGTCTTGCTTCGGTCTTGTGAGACGGATTTTTTTATGATTAATTTTATGTTTATCTAAAATGAATTTACAATTTTATTAATATGTTCATATGTTTAAAAAGAAGAATGTAAATTCAAATATATTTATATATGAAATGTCAGCTGTTTTTTTTTTCTGGGTTTTTTTTTTCCACATTTTTTTTAGCCTACGTAATTTTTTGGCGGCACCCCTGACACAGCTAGGGGGCACCCCAGTGTGCCGCGGCACCCACTTTGAGAAAGGCTGTCGTACTTCACTGTGGACTCGAGAACAACCAATTATTCAGGTCAATCTCATCACTCCATCTCTACCACAAACACTTTTACACAGCATGACGGACGGCAGAAGAACAGAACGTCTTTGGCCATTTACTTGTTAAACTTGACACTGTGACATACAGAGGTCAGCTTAGTTTGACTGAAAGTTTCATTTTTAATTGGAGTTACTTACTGTGAGACGTCTGAAGTAAAGATTTGTGTCTTCAATGAAAACAACAGCATACTGGTTGTTGTGGTGATACTGCAGTTGGGTTTCCTGATATAAATCTCAAATGCAAATGCTTTTGCTCTTTTCGTACGCAGGTGTTCCTTCAAATAGGGGAACTCTTATGTCAGAGGGGTTGATTTTAATTTAAAAAAGCAGATTTTCAACATGTTCCATTTGTTATATTAAGATTTCATTTGCAATATGTGATTTTCCCCACGCTAAATTGCATATTTAAATAACTTTATCAACAAATATTTGCATCCTGCACTCTAAAAAATGCTGGGTTGTTTTAACCCAACTTTGGGTCAAATATGGACTAACCCAGCCGTTGGGTTAAATTTTTACATTACATTTTTAACCCAACATTTCGGGTTTGTCCATATTTGACCCAAAATTGGGTTAAAACAACCCAGCATTTTTTAGAGTGTGTGCATTAAATTATGCAAGCCTTGACAGAATATTTAATTCATCTTAAAATTTCATAAATGTATTCACTCTAAAAAATGCTAGGTTGTTTTAACCCAATTTTGGGTCAAATATGGACAAACCCGAAATGTTGGGTTAAAAATGTAATGTAAAAATTTAACCCAACGGCTGGGTTAGTCCATATTTGACCCAAAGTTGGGTTAAAACAACCCAGCATTTTTTAGAGTGTTCCGATATCAAATATCAAAATGCCATTAATGCATGTAAACAGGTAAAAAAGCTCGGTTTGTCTTCTTATATCACCCTTTACAAAAAACAGACTGTCTATTTGAAGAGTTCAGCTGCAAAAGCCTCTAAGTGCCATTTACAATTTTCTTCTAGAATGATAATTTTTATCAAGCCTGTATATTAAAGTTCAGTAATTTCACTTAAATGGCAATGGAGATTACCTATTAATTATCATTTAAGTGAAATTACTGAACTTAAATATACAAGCTTGATAAAAATGATCATTCAAGAAGAAAATTTCATTTCTTTCTCGTGTGACACACCTATGATTATTATGCGGGTCTTTGTCTTCTCAGGTGAGAAACACCTCCACCATTATGTTTTATGTGAATGATTAGGTATTCATGGCTATTGCATATTGCCTTTCCAAACAAAACAAAAAATGTTTTTTTTCACAATTGTGAACGATTAGGCAGGATGATTTTCAGATCATTTTGAAGCAAAAACCCTAGGCGACAAAGTCCATTAGTCAAAAGTCTTGTGGACGCATATTGCGTATGTGTTTTGTGGCCTTGTTTCAGAAACTTTCATTTTTAGCTTTTTCAATAACAATGCAGAAACAATATTCTCTCAAAAATACAAACATGTACATGCATGTTGCTCATATATTATGGTAGCCCTGTTTCTGCTAAATAGTGTAATTTCAACTGTGCCATTAATATGTTTATAAGCAACTGAAAAAAAGCACAAATGTCAGGGCATGTCAAAAGGACCCCAAAACACCTTTAAATAGCATCTAGCTACTATATACACTTATTGCAAAATACTGATATTTGTAGATAGTGTTAATAAAATCTACTAAAAAAATGACTAAACAGTTGAGATGAAATACTCCACTTGAGCAAAAGTGCTGATCTAAAAGCACTGCCGTTTACTTTATTTTTTTGTTGTTGTCATAATTAAGATTAACCAAAGCATGATTTCTTTTCTCTTTTCAGATAATGCAATAAATAAATACATCAGAATGGGTGAAAGTTGGAATTTAAAGTTTCCAACTTAAATTGGTATTTAAATTTCTCCAATAGTCATTGATCACAGAGTGCCAGTACAGAAGATGATATTCTCCTTTTACTGGTATAAAATGAAGGACGATGAGTGCTGTGGATGTCTGATAACATTAGAGTCTCCTGCATTCTTTCCCTCAGGTTAACGGCTGGATGAACTTTATAGTCCTGGATGCTCTGCTCTCATAAGTGAGATGGAGAGCACTCGAGCGATAAATACAGGCTTTGCAAATCTACACAGATTTTATTTACTGTACAGATGCTATCCAGAGCCTCCTGTGAGACCAGCGTATGTGTTCATGTGGGAAAGCTAGAGTTTATTTGATGAAACAACATGATTTTACCAGTCAACTGTCCCTCCATCTGCACTGCATGCTGAAGCGTCCCGCCGTATTTGAGCTAATGAGGCATCTGAAACTAAACACACGAGGTCCAGTCAGAATTCAGACACTGTGGCAACAAGTAAAATGTCTGTTTAAAAGCAATTCATGGTGTTTAGTCTTTATTATCATTTCTAATATCATGCGGCAAGTCATAAAATATGATATTTTTATATCAGATAAATCTACACTATTGTTCAAAAGCTTGGGGTTGGAAAGATTTTTAAAGTTTCGAACTTCACCAATGCTGATTTATTTGATCAAAAATACAGTAATATTGTGAAATATTATTAGAATTTTAAATATCCGTTTTCTATGTGAATATCTTGTAAAATGTCATTTATTTCTGTGATCGTTACTCCAGTCTTCTTCAGTCACATCATCCTTCAGAAATCACTCTAAATCCTATTCTAGTTCACACAACATGATTTTAAAACGTCGGGCTGAACTGAGCGGTTTACATCGCACATGGTTCAAGTTGTTGAGCTGTTCACACCACACGACACAACGTGATTGGTCCGCAACAGGAGGTAACGCACTAAACGAGTTGACGACAACGATTCTATGTTGTCTACAAAGTACAAACCACGTTTTGTCACGAAAAATCACGTGATAAAATGAACCGGAAATGAACCGGACGAAGAACACAACATTCAAATATGGACATCTGACAGAAACTAGTGCAAACGGTTTGCGCGATGACTTGCTCTGGGAAAAAATGCTAAATAAGATTTACCCGGTGACCTCAACCCATGCCTTGCTCTGGTTGGCTGTAGCTCATGACATCACGTGAGGTTGAGTCATGCGACAGCTCTATCTAGCATGCTAGATCAGGGATTCCCAAAGTGTGGTACGTGAGCTGCCACCAGGGGGTGTGCGAGAGGAAAAATGGGTAACACTTTAGAATACGGTTCCTTCGTTAATGAATAACTACACAAGAACTAATGAGTAACACAATATTAACAATCTAGTAACTATTATTAACTAACAAGAAACTCTGATTAACAAACTAGTAAGTAATAGCGCACAGACGAAAGTGGTAGTTCACTATTAAGTAATCAAAAACTTCTATTTTTTAATACTTCCCAGAGAAGTTTATTAATAATAACTAGTAACTACTATTAACTAAAATAAACTCTTATTAACGAATCAGTAAGTAATAGCTCACAGATGAAAGTGTTACTAGATACTTTTGTGGGAATTACTAATTATTTGGATCCGTATTATAAAGTGAAGATCATTGGAACTAACTAGTAATGACTCAAGTGTTACTACATGATCTAGTCATGATTTGTGCAAATGTTTGAGATTTTTGGTGAACTTTAGTATACTTTTAGAAAATGTCTTTAGTAACACTTGAGTAATTACTAGTTAGTTCCAATGATCTTCACTTTATATTACGAATCCAAAAAATTAGTAATTCCCACAGAAGTATCTAGTAACACTTTCATCTGTGAGCTATTACTTACTAATAAGAGTTAAAATGAGTTTATTTTAGTTAATTGTTAATAAACTTTTTCACTCTGAGAAGTATTAAAAAAATAGTAGTTATTGATTACTTAATAGTGAACTACCACTTTCGTCTGTGTGCTGTTACTTACTAGTTCGTTAATCAGAGTTTCTTGTTAGTTAATAATAGTTACTATTGTTAATATTGTGTTACTCATTAGTTCTTCATTAACGAAGGAACCATATTCTAAAGTGTTACCGAAAAATGTAATGGCTGTCTGTTTTTTGTTTTTTTTTTAAGTGTAACAAAAAGAAATCAAGAGACATTTACAATAGATAAAAATGTGCGATTAATCGCGAGTTAACTATGGCATTAATGCGATTAATCGCGATTAAATATTTTAATCGTTTGACAGCACTACTAAAAACCACGTTTTGTATCCATACAATAAAAAAAAAACCATGAACAAATCGTTTGAATCGTTGATTCAACGACAAGCAGGAGAAAGAGACACATTAGCTATTTAGCTTCATAGACTCCCATTCATTCTGCACTCGCCCGTGATCACCTCCAGTGGAATTATAATGGAACTGCAACCAAGATGATACACAATGGGGCTAATAGGAAGTGCCAAGGCTCTCCGTTAGACGGACTCTGATCGGGTTTAAAATCGTGTCGTGTGAACTAGGCTTAATATGCTTCTAATAATCTGACCCCAATCTTTTGTTCGGTAGTGCTGCATACATGTAATATTCTTTGAAGAACTTCAAAAAGACCAAAAGATTCAGCTGAAAAGCCCAAGGACCGACACCACGATCTTCTTAATGAAGTCATCATATCAGACATGCTTGTTAATAGATTCAATCGGCCAGTGTTTTACTACTGCTGCCCTAACACAAAATCAGGTCATGTTCTCCAAACCCGTCCAATCTTTCTCCGGCTCTGACATCACAGCTGTCTCAGAGACAACAGAGCCTCCCTCTTTTATTCCGAACAGATGGAGAAACAAATAACAGATCCAGTATGATTCTGTAGCCAAGCAGAACCAGCCCTGCACTCCCGGCGACATGTCAATTATCACTGATAAATATCTCTTCCCTCTAATCGCTCCGAACAGAGCCCGCTCTCCTATCAAACTCATCCTACAAGGCTTTATGCGGTTCACTGTCTTGACTGAATGAAGAATATTTACCTGGACGAGGGGGAATCATTAGAAAACATGCAGCACTGATAATAATCATAATTCTTGAGCATCAAATCATCATATTAGAGTGATTTCTGATGGATCATGTGACACTGAAGACTGGATGCTGGAAATAATACAGGAATAAATACAATTTTACTGTATATTCACATTGGAAACAGCTATTTTAAATTATAATAATATTTCTCTTTTTTGGATCAAGTAAATGTAGTCTTGGAGAGACTACTTTCATAAATATTAAAATCATAAATATTCCAGTATAATATGTCAGATCATGGGCATAGCAAAGGCTTATTTTATTGTTTATTGAACATTGAAGCAATATCACAGCACAATTGTGATGCATCAAATCTCAAATACAGTCATGGTCAAAATTGATGGCACCCCTGGTAAATATGATCAAAACTGGCTGTTTATCCTTTTGATCTTTCATTCCAAAAATGTGCAAAATTCGAGCCTTTCTGAAGTAAAATAATTTTTTGATGCACTTCAGAACTATATTCTTTGGTTTTACTCATTGTGATGGATGATTATAGGAATTTGGCATTTGTGTTTCCTCATATTTAATCTCCTGTGAAACAAGAAGTCATGACTGGACAATTTCATGTTCCTAGTCACCCTGATGTGCTAAAAATGGTAAATATTAATGGGAATATCCTTCAGAGATATTACACTCGTAAAATATTCCAGTGGTGCTAAAAAATATTTTTTGGAGAAAAACATTTATTGTGCTCTGAGGATACGCTCTCAGAAAAAGGTACAAAAGCTGTCACTGGGGCTGTACCTTTACAAAAGGTAAAATTTTGTCCATTTCATGAGCTAATAAGTACATTTCAGGTGCTAATATGTCCATTTTAGGAGCTAATATGTACATTTTATGTCCTAATACGTACATTTTAGGTGCTAATATGTCCATTTCAAGAGCTAATATGTAAATTGTAAGTGTTAATATGTATATTTTAAGAGTTAATATGTACATTTTAGGTGCTAATATGTACATTTTAGGTGGTAATATGTACATTTAGGTGCTAATATGTCAAATTCATGAGCTAATATGTCAATTTTAGGTGGTAATATGTCCATTTTAGGAGCTAATATGTCCATTTTAGATGCAATTATGTACATTTCAGGTGCTATTATGTACATTTTAGGTGCTAATATGTCAAATTCATGAGCTAATATGTCCATTTTAGCTGGTAATATGTACATTTTAGGTGCTAATATGTCCATTTTAGGTGCTATTATGTACATTTCAGGTGCTAATATGTCCATTTAGGAGTTAATATGTAGATTTTATGTCTTAATATGTACATTTTATGTCCTAATATGTACATTTTAGGTGCTAATATGTACATTTTAGGTGCTAACATGTCCATTTTAGGAGCTAATATGTAAATTTTAAGTGTTAATATGTATATTTTAAGTGTTAATATGTACATTTTAGGTGGTAATATGTACATTTAAGTGTTGATATGTACATTTTGGGTGCTAATATGTACATTTTAGGTGTTCATATGTACATTTTAGGTGTTCATATGTCCTTTTTAGGTGCTAATATGTACCACTAAGGTACCAATATGCAGCCTTTGGGCACAAAAGTGTACCTTTTGAAAAAGTACAACCCCAGGGTCAGCTTTTGTACCTTTTTTCTGAGATTGTAAATCATGCAGATTTATTTTTTTACAGCCAGTTTTGATTTAATAAGGGTGCCATCAATTTTGACCATGACTGTATAACAAAAATCATTTTCATACTACACACAGTAATCATGTTCACAAATAGATACTTTATCACTAAAAACTCAGAAAGAGCAATTTTTGGCAGAATAATGATCAGCAGACTCACATAAGCGCTGCGTTTAGCCGGATCACCTTCACGCCCCACTAATGCCTCATTGACAAATTACAGTCATTTTAATAACTATCTTCTGGACATTATTCCTGGAAACTAATGACTCATCTCATGACTCATAAGGGAAACAGCAAAAGTAGTTATCAGAGAATAAGAAAGAATAAGACGTTGAAAAGGCAATACACATGATTGGAAGCCTTGCCTCTCAGATGCCTTCTGACTGTCAAAACAAATGGGAGTTCAATAACTAAATAGCTATGAATTCATAATCAAAAACACAATTCTCTTTTTCCAAGAAAGAAAAAAACCATTTTGAACTAATAAAAAAACAAAAAAAAACAAAACTGGCACACACTAGCAAACTGAGTTTCCCGATGACTGAAAACTCTATAATAATAACTGAGAACAACCATTACAAATTGTGATTGGACTGCACTTTTTGATAACAAGAACCCGCAAATATTGATGATCCTCTCGCAAATGTAATATTATTATTATTATGTTCATATATAGTGAATATGTGTTCAGTTAGCA